GTGAAGGTGGTTTTCACCCTGATTTCAGAAAGTGTGTGAGGCCAGGCAGTGTGATCCTGAGAGGGAAATATGTGAAGCTGTAAGCTGAAGCCAAAGGTGCAGTGGAGACCCCAAATGTTTGGAGAAGCCAAAAACATGGATTGTCTAAGGAAAGCTGCAAGGATGGAGCAGAGTAGTCCCAAAAGAGAAGCCTTGGGAGCTACAAGCACCAGAAGTGGCATAAGGACAGAGTGACCCAAGCTCTTTGGAGCTCAAAATTTGCCACAGATTGCTTTGGATGCTGCACATGCAACTACAGGACTTAATGTGTGCCCTGCTGGATTTTGAATTTGCTTTGGTCTCAATCATTTATATCCCCCATTTGTAACTTTTGGAATGAGAATATTTATCTTGTGCCATTAAATGTTGGAAGTGTTTAATTTTGCTTTCATTTGTACAGGGGCTCACAGCTAAGAGTTTGCCTTAAATCTCAGAAGAGACTTGGGACTTGGACTTCTCAGCAATGCTAAAACTGTTAGGACTTTGGCAACTCTTGCAGATGGACTAAATGGCTTTTGCATAAAGGGATGTGCATGAGTCTTTCGGGGGGCATGGGTAGAATGTTATGGTTCTGATGTAATATAATATTGACAGGCTTAATACTAGTCCTTAAGGATTATTAAACCTGAATTATAATGTTCAAGTTATGAAATAAGAAGAATAAGCATGTCTTTGTGTCTGAAAACCAGTTTTAAAAAATGTGTCTTGTTGCCAAGTTGACAAGGGGTGAATTGTAATGATTGATTTGCCGTGTCAATTTAAAAAGTTTAGAAGTTTAACTATGTGATTCAGCAGGGGTTCAGGGTCTTCACTTTGTAAACATCCTGAACTTGTGCAAGGCATGGAGATGGTGTGAGTGGTATAAATAGGAAATGAGATACAATAAAAAGGAAATGAGAAAGGACTAATTTTTGGTTCTTCAGAGGAGCTCCAGTCTTCACCCTCAGCTTGGGCGTTGTCTCCTAGCTTCTACCACAAACTGTTTAACTTCCTCCTGGGACTCTTCAGCCTTTGTCATAGACTGTTTAGCTTTCTGGCATATATTCTTCAGCCTTGTGTCACAGACCCATCGGCCTCCTGATATGGGCCTACATGGAACACTGGAGTGAGCTCCAGACCTTGGAATGAACCCTTCAGCCTCCAGTGTGCAGACGCCCTCTGCACACTTCCTCATCCAACTCTGTGGCTCAGCATTGTAAGCCAATCTTGTCATTTCTTATACATTTGTATATCTTGCATTGTATCCATTTCTTTAGTAAAACCTGACTGGTATAGTAAGTATTTACTGACTGTAAAAACCAAATTACCAGTAGTAGTAGAAAATAGATCAGCAAAAATAGCATTTAGTGAACCAAATATTTAAAAAGCTAATAAAGCTTAACTGTAATAATAAAATGGAGGGGTAGGAAAAGGGAAAAATAAAAGAAGCAAACTTTGAAATGTAAAGAAAAGGAAGATGAGAAGCAAGAGGACAGAAAAGAGAGATAAATCAAAAAGTAAAAGAAAGTTAATAAAATTAAAGTAGCAGAAGGAAAAAAATCAGAAAAATAAAATAAATGAGGACAAATGATAAAACAAAGAGAAAAATAAAAAAGAGAAAAATAAAAGAAAGATAGAAACTCCAAAATAACCCCACACACAAAAGAAAAGAAAAGTAAAAGAGAAATGAGAACAAAAACCTTTTTCCATGTGTTTGAGTGAATGGCTCCTTCTCGGGGTCTGTAGTATTATTGGAAACCACCAGGTATGAGGAGCGGCAATAGCAAGCCACAACTAAGCCCTATTTTATTTTCATCTCAATTTCTATTTTCCGTGTGCATGATGAGTCTTACCACACTTTTCCTTTGGGCAGGATCAATCAAAAGTATGGCTTCTGTCTTAGAGTGGTATTCACTCCAGCAGCTCCTAGTGCTTGCTCTCCCTCTCCTCACTTCAAGTCACCGCTATCCATGCTTAGTTTTCTGACCTATGAGCTTGGGCAGTGCCCACCTTGTTCCAGAGGCCTCATGGTCTATATGCTCTGAGATGTGGTAGCCGTCATAGCTAAGGGATATCCTTGATCACACTGGCAGATGGAGGGAGCTAGACTTAGGCAATGTGGTTGGGGAAATATCAGGCAGTCCACTGGATGTTATGCAAGTGCTTTCATACCCAGCCCCCTCAGAAAAACACACCACAGTGGGTGAGACCATCATATCCCTCCAGCCTGAGCTTGCCACTACTTAAACTTCTCAGATGTCCTGACTAGCCTTTTCCTTCTCTACTCCTGTCTACTGTGGCCATCTCCTGCCCAGTCAAAACTGGGGTGAGGTGACTGCAGAAACCCAGAAGTGTACTTGTTCTGTGACTTCTGAGTCCCAGAGTAGTTTAGTTTTAAACAATTCATTCTTTCCGAAAACGGCTCCTGATTAAATTACTTCCAATTAGGGTGGGTACTGCAATGGATTTCTTCAGATCTAGTCTGCTATGTGGAAGGAGCCAGTTTCATGGTAAAATTCCACACTGAATGTACAGTGTACAACGGCTGTGGGATTTTTCGGGGAGGCCTAGCATTGCATGCTCCTTGCTTTGTTTCCCTGGGGTTTACTTTGCGTTTGTGGAGATAGGTCCTCCTCCCTGGAGCTGGCATTCACAGTCCAGACTTGTTCTATTCTCTCCATTGTCTTCAGTTTTCCCAGTTTCTCTGTGAATTCTAGTTTTCCTGTCAGCTTTTTTTTTTTTTTTTTTTTTTTTTTTTTTTTTT